GCCTTCTGGCCATCGCGCCGTGGGTGTTGGTTTGGGTGGGCTCGTCCCCATTTCCCCGACTTCGGTCTTGGGTGGGCTGGCCCCCTCTACAGATGATTTCGTCGACTTCCGTCGGCATGGTCCACGTCTCTCGCCGTCAGGCCTTTCGTCTCCACCTGGCATCTGGAACATCGCGCCCTGGCCGTCCAAGAAGCTCCGCGAGTTGCCTCCTTCTAGACTGCGTGAGCGGACCCTCGTTTTTTCTGTCTCCTTACACTCTTCGGTGGAGGATGTTATGGCTCTCGAGCCCGAGTCTTCGCCGGCCGTCTCGCCGACCGCCGCATCACGACGGACTCTCGACCCTACTCAAGTGATTTCCACGCGGACTCGTCGCCGGACGGCGGTTGTGGCTGGCAAGCCCCTCCCGCCTGTGGATTATGGCTTCTCTGAGGACCCACCTGCTCCCACTCGGATTTCCGCTTCGCCCCGATCGTTTCGACGTTCTCCGCCCGCGCCTTCAGCATCGACTACGCCCCCCGTTTTGACCAGGTTGGTTTCGACTCCTGGTGCTGACGCTTCGATCCCGGACCTTCCTACGCCTCTGGCTCGTAGAAGGGATCTTGCATCTTCGACGCATCCCGCAACTTCGGTTGCTCCTGCCCAGCAGTCTCCTGCTGCCCCCGATTCTTCGGAATCTCCGCGTTCGGTTTCAACCACTCGTACGCCTTCGTCTACTGTTTCCGCTGCTACTCTGCCTTCGGGTGGATTGCAGTCGGAGCCTCATGAATCGGCTCCCTCTTCTATCGAGTCGGCTTTACATTCTTCGGCAGATTTAGCCTTCCGGGCGTCTGTCGAACGTTTCTCGCATGCTGATTGGGCTTGCGAGCAACGTAACGAACCTGTTTGTGATGCAGCTATTCGTTTCCTCCTTCTGGGTCGGCCTTCGGCTCTCCCTTCGGATTTCTTGGATCATCTTCCGTCCGCTCGTCGACCTCCTCTATCGGAGATCCGTGACCTGTCTCGCAAAGGCCGGTTACATGTTGACGATGACGGTTTAGTCTTGCTTGTTCGCAAGCAAACAGCGCCCCCGTCGTCTACGGCCACACGTCCTGGCGGGCGTGCTGCTCGCCTTCTCAACGACGAACCTATTCGGATTTTATGTTCCCATGCTCATGCGTCCGTGGATCATGCAAGCCTGTCACGCTGATGCATCCTGCCACCTCGGTGTCGCTCGCACGCTTAGCATGCTGGAACGTTTCTATTGGTGGGTTGGCATGAGTGTTTGCACGAAGTGGTGGGTACGGCATTGTTGGCGATGCCAAGCCCGCAAACCATCTCGTCAAACGCCTCGATGACCTACTTTGCGCCTTCCGCTGCCTTCGGGCCCTGGTGTGTCGGTGAGCGTCGATTATTTCGGTCCCCTCCCGTTGACACCGCGCGGAAACACATATATTCTGCTTTTCACTGATCGTTTCAGCCGCCGTGCTGATATGTACGTGGTTACGGGTGCGGAATTCACCGCCGAAGGCACCGCTGACGTACTTGTCAATCGGTATTTCCATTTGTGGGGTTGCCCTTTGAGTCTCTTGTCTGATAATGGCTCTCAGGTTTGTTCTAAACTGTCGCAGGCTGTGTACGCCCGTCTGGCTATCCGCAAAGTGGCTACTAGCTCTTACCATCCCAACGGCAATGGGGGTGTGGAGCACGTCAATCACACTATGGCCCAGATGTTGGCTATGGTCTTCAATGAGAGGCAAGATGATTGGGACATTCATCTGCCGCACGTTGAGTTTGCCTACAACAATTCGGTTAGTGCCGCTACTGGTTTGGCGCCCAACGAGGTGCATATGAACCGACTGCCACGCATGCCGATGACGGTTTTTGAGCATCCATATGCTCGAGGCCACCAAAGCTTGCAACGCGATCAACTTGAGTATTGCGATCTTGCCTCTGATCGCCAACGTCGTTCTTACGATTTAGTTCGTGAACAGCACAACCTGTCCGTTTCGCGGAATGAGCGGCGTAACTCCGCTCTATCGGATGCTTTGCGCAAGGTTCCCTCATACACCGTCGGTGGATGGGTTTGGGTGTACAACACCGAATCTACCATTCGCCAAGGTGTTCGTTCAGGCACGGATGGCAAAGTTCTCAAGGCTAAGTTGTCCTTCCTCTGGACTGGTCTGTTCAAGATCATGGCCGTGGATCCGTGTCCTGACGCTCCCGACGGTTGTCCTCTGGCTTCCAAGTTACTCTATTTGGATCTTCCATCGGATCTGCCGGGTCCAGACTCGAAAAATCGTGTATCGGTTGCGCGTTGCAAGCCTTGCGCTAATCCACATGACACTGAGCCTCGGTTCCTGCCTGCGGGCCTTACACCGTATGTACTGAACTCCTATGCGAATAAATCTCCTCCCTACCATGTTACGGAAGACGACGTGTCGACTCCGGTCGCACGTCTCGAGGTTGACCGCATTAGTGGCCATCAGTCTGTTCGTGATCGTGGTGGCACCATCGCTGTTTTATACCAAACTCATTGGAAAGGTCTTCTTCGTCCTTCTTGGGAACGTGAGATGGACCTCCAGCATTCCAAGACACACATTCTCCGGTACTGGACGGGTTCGCCTGACCAACACCGTCAAACGAATCGCCGCTATCGGGTTATGCGTATTTGTACGGCCAACCGCGAGATGGCGTGCGCTAAAGGTGAGCGAGCCTTCCCTTCTCGGGCTATTCGCTCGTCTCTCGTTCAACATGGGACCGTCGCTTCGCCAATACTCCGCTACCTGCAGGCGCCTTCTTCTGGTACAAAGCGCGCGATGGATTCTGGTGGTTGGGCAAGATTACTGGACCGCCTCTACCGTCCGACTTCTACGTCGTCCGCTTCTTAGACGATCCTGGACCTGTCAAGCTCGCCCTTCCTGATGCTCGCTACTCCAACGCCGAAATCGCCGTCTCCGGATTCTGGTGCCTCCAAGTTCACAGCGGCAGTGCCCTTTTCAAGGGCATCCTTCGCAACATCGACATGTCGCGTGGTGACGCTGGGACTGATTCGTTGCCTGATGACGTTGCGCGCCCCCATTAAGACGACATGCTTGGTTGTTTGTGCCTTCTGTTGCTTTTCGCATTGTTGGGTCTGCTTTTGGCACTGTTTGGATTGTTTTCGGCGTTTTTTTTTAACGTTTTTAGCCTTGGTGGGTTTTCGCTTTCTTCTCGCTTTCTTTAGGGCCTTTATTTAGCGTTTGGTCACAACCTGTAGGTGTTTCGCGCCCATTGTTGGCGCTTATGCGCTGCCGTGGCGACTGCGTGAGTGGCGTATCTTCTCTCTCGTTTTTTTTCGATACCGGTCTTTTTGTCGTTCCGGCGGTGATCCTTTCTTTTTGTCGTTCTGACGACCTTTGTTTTCTTCTGGTTTTCATACTTTCTTCGGTTTCGACCATGTTCCGGTCGTCATCGGCTTTCCTTAGCCCCGTCAGTTCCTTTCGGTGTCTTCTTCTCGTTTAGAAGTCAAACGATGGTCTTGCGACCCATCGAGTGAGAGGGGTGGGAGGGTGAATTGTGCTGTTGTTTTGGAGCTCCACATCCTCGATACTTTCATTTAGAGACTCGACAATTGCTTGCAAAGACTGCGAGGTTTTATAGTATCTGCGTATGAGATCCTCCAGGGTGGGCTAGTGTTTATAGGATTCAGATGTGTAGACGGAACATAGAAAAGAATGATTCCTTCTAGAAGGCGCGGACAGTTGTAACTCCCGGCGGAAGGATACAACAGGGGACAGGATCTAGTAGCCCCTGCTTGTACTAAGGATACACAAGGCAACAGCTACTGCTGCTGTTGTTCTGCAAGAGTAATAACAAGTGAGTTCTTCTTCACGGATCAACCAGACTTCATCACGCGTGCACAGTGATGTGTGATACAAGAATGCAACGAAACGGCTCTCCCCCCCCTCCTTCGATGTTTGCCATCGGGGTTAGGTTTTCGTCGCTCGGCAACGACGTTAAAAACAAGCCGCCGCCCCCGGTGTTCGCCAACCGGGTTGAGTTTCCGTCGATTGGCAGTGATGTTGTAAAACAAGCCGATTCTCTTCGTGAGCTCGGCAACCAGGTTACCGCCTTGTTTTTTTGCCTTTGTTTTCTTTTTGCGGTAACCATTAATGGTGGTCGAGTAGATTACGTTGTGCGGGGCGAGAACCCTCACTCCGCGCAAAGGGGATGATCGCACCACGTTGTGTTCAATTGGTCGAACACCCTCGAGGCAGTTACACCGAGCTTACAACTGTCTCTGGAGGTGGAAGCACCAGAAGATAAACTAAGAAAACAAACTAAGTCATACGCAGCTGTCATCCGTACGCAAGGAAGTAAGGACAAGATGCCGAACACCCTTGGCAGGATGCAGCGCACCCTTCATGCGACTCGCCGAATACCTCACGGCGCTTCGCGCTTGGTGATGTGAGAGCCTGGTCCGGTGAGAACCCGGCGTGCTCCGTCCCGGCTTTGTAAGGATGCGAGGTCAATGGTCTAACGACTACTGCATGCACGATCATGACCCTCCCCCCAACCTTGGGCGGGCTCTATCCTCTCCAAAATACACCTACGAACCTCCGCCGGAGCGCTCAGGCTAAGCCACGTAGAGCCCAGCTTTGCACCTTGCATAAGAGAGATAGATGGGGGTCCCAACATACTGCCACCCGCACCGAAAAGAGAACAACCTTGTCCGCTAAGAGAGGTTGAGTTTTAACGTACGTCCGAATCCTATCGCACCCTTCTCAGGAGAAACACCAATAAGTGCTTCTATCACCGCCGTTGCCGCCTTTCAAGCCACACAAGGAACGCTCAACTTCAACGCCCTCACCTGCCCCCCTCCGACCGAGGACATGAACAATCGAGCTCCGCCACAAAAGCGGGAAAGTCTACAGATTAGACAGAGAATAACAACTTGTTTGTTGTAACTCCGTCTACGCGGAATCACTGCAAAACAAAGGACAATAACAAACAGTTGCTTCTGCCCGCACTGCCGTCGTGCCGCACTTCACATATATATGCCGTTGCGACATGCCACTTTTTCTCTACCCCCGCTCAACACAAAACACCAGGCACTGCTGAATAGTCACCCAACAAATAAGAAATCGCAAGCGCTGCCTTTCTCTTCTCAAAAACAAACGTTTGCCTACAACCAACTGACCCGGGACAACACCCACCCTTAAAAACCGACTCTTTCAACTATAGTGGCCTCTTTTCGGTTGCACACTCCGTTCGACATAGAAATATTGCCAGGCAGCAAAGTTGCAGCTGTGCGGACTTCGGCAAACGAGCGATAGGGGGCAACAAGCTCCGCCACAACGAGCAACAACCCTTGGGCACCCCGAGCAACCGAGCGGCACGCAGCGTGCCGATTATAAGATACGATCATGAGCGGCTTGCAGCTTCCCGTATGTTGGTGATGCACTCTCCAACTGATGTGCTGCAGACCTCAGTGTCCGCGCTTAAGACTAACTCACGGATGGGTAGCACATGGCCGGTGCGCTCGGTGGCATTACAATGTGCACCATTTCGTTTGGACCCGAAGTCTTGACTTTCAATTACCCTAAATGTTGATGGACTGGGGGATGTTGTCGGGCAGTAGGGTGGTGTAGGCCATGTTGTTGGCGACCTTCCCGGCCTTACCCCTTCCGCGCCAACCGGACACCACGTCGGCGTTGCTGATGAACAACACGAAACAGGATGGGTATTGTCAGTGTTTGTGTCGTGGATTAGGTGGTCTTGCATGCCGTAGTCTTTCGACCACAGACCCGGGGAGGGGGCGAGGGGGGGGATGCTATTGGTGAAGGAGCCGCCGGGGGGCGAGCATATTTATCTTCCGAACCACGACATATTTGGTGGTGAGATAGGGCGAACAAGAAGAAGGCGCAGTAAAAAGACAGGAGGAGCTCCTTTGAAAAAACCAACCAAACCTAAGGCTTGCCAAGCACTCGGAACCGGTATATTCTTGACTTGTAAACCATACCACAACTTCGGAGGAGTCCTCGCTGCACCCACTCGGAGTACAATACTCGAATATAGATTTTGCGGCCTAAAAAATAAACATTTTCCCGCTTTTTCAACGATTTTCGGGTCGGTATGCTTGTATTCACCCACCATACTTCTACTACTTTTTTTGGCTGTACGTCGTCCGAGCAGAAACGGACCATCAAACCCGCCGGGAACCCTACACTCACTCGGCAACCAAGTCGTCCTCGATGTCCTCGATCGCTTGCTGGAACTTGGCGAGGGGTTCGGCGATACGGTCATCGTCGAAATTGTGTGTCTCGTACTGACCAAGCCTGCGGTTACCATTGCACAACATATAACAAATCGAACCAACCGCCGCAAAGAAAGGTGGTCAGAGCAGAAGGAAAGGGCTGACGACGTTTTCGACAGGTGTCGCCGGTCCAAGGGTAACAGGCGCCGCATGGTCAATGGAAACTCAAAAGCACAGCAGCGACAACGTTACTGTCTTGCTTGCAGGACGAAAGTTCCTGGAAAATCCGGATCGTTTGAGCTGGGGAAACAATGATACGCGTCGAAAACAACTACAGAAATGTAAACACCATGGCTCGTGGAGACGCTCGCACAAATGAGACGTTTTACCAAGAACCAGGACGGGTTTCGACGACACGACAGGGACCACAATAAGATAAACGTTTGGCCAAGGCCAAAGCAATAGCTGTAGCAGTACAACGATCAGGACCGCACCTGACTTGAGCAACAGCTAAGTATGCACAGTCACAGCTAGAGCAGCGACAGGAACAGCAGGACGAAACCCGTCACGCCGAATCAATCAACAGCGAATCAACAACCTTCCACACGCCCAATCAGGCGAGCTAACGTTTGATTACGCGTCTCAGTCTGTCAGAGAACGCACGACGATAAGGTGTACTGTGGCATACGGTGCCACAAGGTATCACGAAGCTTCGACAACGCTTTACAACTCACTTCGTGTGGAAGATGTCTCCAAGCAAAGTGAGGATGGCCACGTGGATGGTGGCGATTTCCATGGGGGGCAGGTAGTTCATGAATTCGTCGAACGTCCTCTCCCTCTGACCATAACAAAACATGATAGTCAAAGACAATACAAAGGCGAGAGACAAGACAGACGAGCAGAAGGATAGGACGACACAAAAAGAGTAAGCAAGCAGCGTTACATAAAAGCGTCACCCAGCAGGAAGTCTCGGGTATCTGTCTACCCAACCTTGCCACCGCGTGCAAACAAGCAAATTAAACGGTGAGATCAACGCCCGAAAACGGACATAATGTAGTGCGCGCGCAGGCAAACAAAGACCTACTGCCGCACGGAGTAAATGCACGGCATTCGATGTGACATATGTATCGGTGGGTGCAGTGCACAAACTACATTGCACTCTAATAATAGACTTCTTTGCACACTATCGTTCGTGATTGCAGGAAAAATCGCACCCACTGAACTTGGTGAAATACCTTGTCGATGGGAGGAGGGGCGTAGACGGAACCGGGGCAGGAGGGCACGAACGACATGGACGGCTTTTGGGGGAAGTTGACCGCGGCGTGGAGGGTGCTCGCAGAGTAGATCCAGCTCGCGATCACCTGTTCAAGCGCGTGGTCGTCGGGTCAAGGCGACTTAGGAGTACACACAAAGGTTGGTTCCGGGTGACGAGACTTATGAAACCGGAAGAAAAAAGTTTAGACTCGTGGTGCGTGGATGTACGGCTGGACGCCGAGAAGAAAAGTTAGATCCCCGGCTCTGGAAATACAAAACGACAAGGCAGAGATTCCCCAATCAATGCTGAGAATCCAGTCCACACCACAATACGTTCATGAAAACCGCCTAATACTTCTCGAACCTACCCTCAAAGCAGTAGGCCTCTGCCTACGAAAACGAACAGCCATTGGGTCGTACGGATACAAACTGTTTGCCATTGACAGCCACACCCTTATTCTTGGTGCCCTCAATGTCTTGCTACGAGAAACAACAAGAACCCACAGCAACAACAGCAGCAGTACCTTGGCGATTAAAGCCTTTTTGTCGTCGGTGGTGTAGTAATCCTTCAGCCAGTACACCTTGCCGATGTCCACCAGCTCCTCGATCATCGCCTAGTGGCGTTGTGCGAAAAGCAGCCGTCGGCGTTAATCTTTCGATCAGTTCGTTGGGCTTCTGGAGACGCACAACATCACCTCCAAAATAAGGTGAACCCGCTTTTCTGACACTGGCAGACAGTCTGTACATGATACCAACCCATTCAGCCGAACGGCTCGGCAGAATCAGCAAACCCCATCACTAGCATTGTGATCTAAAGACCACCGCGTCCAAAGGCTGCGACCACTCTCCAGAGAGCCCCGCTCCATCCCTTCAATTCCGGACAATAGCATCAGGAGAAACGTATGGCTTACCTGGAGCTCGTAGTCTTCCTCCACGTCCTTGTCGCTCTTGTAGTAAATCTGAGAGGGAGGATTCGGCATCGTCGCAAGTACATCGCGGTCGTCGGAGACGTTAGGCGTAGCCATACATCGGTTTTCAAGGAGAGAATAGTCATCCCGCGAGGAGATAGGACCGAGGAGAGGAGGGAGGAAGGGAAACACGAGGGAAGGGGGTGCCTTACGCCTCCCCTGGACACATCGGAACTAATGGCATCGAACAACACGCCTGCTTGAGAACCTTGGGGTTCAGAAATCCAGGCTAAGGAGATCGACACTTGACGAACTTGACCGCAAGAACAGGTGGTCAGTAAAGAATCCTACACCAAGCCTCTGCGATCCTTGTTAGGTTACCACACAGGAAACAAATGAACGCCAGGAAACCCAACAGGTGCGCAAGTGGCTGCGTCTTCTGCAACAAACAACCACCCAAACTAGGTGGGAAGCTTTTGTTGCAAAGAAAAATAGGACCTACCTACGAAGGATTACCTACGTACGAAGGATTAGGTCCGTAAAGACATGACCCCACGCGACGTCATCGCGCATTCGCTAGCCCCCAGCCCGACATTTGCGACCTGATACGACGTACCCTACGTGGAGGCATGGTCATGTAACCCCTACTCCACTGGCCCAGTCCTAACTCTACTCCTGGGTTTGACCTTCACCCGAGCCCCGTGATCCAGCCCAGAAATCCCAAAATCTGGGAGGTATATAACTTACGTCAAGGTACTCCTTGACCCAAGTGTGCGTCGCTTCCCAGTACCGCATGCCGTAGTCGCGGTAAGGGTAGCGCCCGGGGAAGTCCTCCTTGGTGATCTGACGGGAGGCGAAGTCGGCCTCGGGGGAGAAGTCTCCGGCGATGCGCTTGAGGACCTGTGAGGTTGGTTGGGGGGCAGGGTTTGGGGCTAGGAAAAAAGAGGGGTCTTCTTGTTGCTGGTGTAAGCGCAGATTCTGCATGTCCAAACAGCAGAAGAAATGTACGAGTACTCTCGACTGGGAAGAGGGAATGTACACCACAACTAATGGTGTGGATGTGACACGTGATGCCGAACGAACCTCGGTGTACGAAAAACGACGTCACCGACATAAAGGAGAAGGGGAGGGACGGTTCCGAAATATATCAACAGATTATCACCGAAAAAAGAAAAGAGCGTTCTACACGGTATATTCTCGGGATGACCCGTTTCTCGAGAACCCCGCACAGGGGACATGCGAAAAAATGGAACAAGGATGAGGGTGGAAACGACTTGAGGACGTGTGTGTGCGGGGCTATGTATCTTCCTGCGTTCATTCCCCCGTAATGAGCAATGTAATCAGACTAATAAATTTACATATATATACGCATGCGGAAAGGCTGGCGGGGGGTGCACACGAGTACGGAACAATGCGCGATTGAACAGCCGTCGAAAACTCTCTTCTACACCCCCTTCCGGCGACAAATTCCTCGCAGGGGAAGAATAGATGGAGCTTTGGGAGATCGACCCAAGGATGTGAAACGTTAGCTTGTAAGACGGCGGTTGCTGAAGTCATCTGTTGTGAGGACAAACCTGCTCGAGAACTAAGTCCCATGATGACTCGATGTCGTTCGCCTGGAGAATGTCCACGGCGTTGTCCGGCTGAATGAGCAGCTGGCGGTTAGGGTGTAGCAAAGAGCAGGAAGGCAAGGAACGGACGGACAAGAATTCGTGGTAAGAACCCGAGGAAAGCGCGACCTTTGACATATTGCAGTACTGCCGTAATCATATTGTACACTTCGCGTGCATGCAAAAGCTACGCGCCCACGAGCCGGCACGGAAAGCCGGAAGGAACAAGCACCAGCGAACGATCGGTCCGCCCAGCCCCTTGAACAAGGCACACGACACTTGGCGACAACAACCGCCAACAGGTAACCTCCCATCAGGCATCACATTCCATGCTGCAGTATTACTTTTGTCAGCCTGTGTTAAACGTGACCACGACATAACCGCGAACTCCCTTCGTATCTGCCACGGGGAAACAACCAAGACCATCGAGAGCGCACTCGGTTTGTCGCAAAAAGCTTTTAGCGAAAAAAGAGCACCGCCCACGGCCAGTCTCGACTCGTTGTTGATGCTCCTTGACCCCGGCCGGTTCGTCTGTTCTGACATGATAATTGAGCCTGCTGCCCTGTCAATTCTGTCCTGTACACAAGGTCCACCACACCCACCCGCGGCTACATGATCCGAAGAGTACAGATGCATATCGTGACAACAGTTTTCGACGCGACTCACATTCTGCGCTCCCCAGTTGATAAGGGCGGTCCCCTCCATGTGGGGCTTGAGGAGGTCGTACACAGGGTGTTCCTTAGGGAGGCAGCGGTTCACGGCTACCATCGGGGCCTCAAGCACGACGTGCGTGTTGCCGAGGTGAGACACGACCTCGTGAATGCTGGAAGCGAAAGAATCAAGCAGCGCACACGTTCAGGTTAGAGGACCACGACACACACGCGCAGATGCACAGGAGACAGTGAACGTACGACGCTACCTACAAGGGCACACACGCGTTGATAAAAAGTAAATAAAAAGGGGAGGGGGGGGGGGGGTCGAGAATACCATACCGTTGCGTGCGTTTTAGGCGAACATAGGAGTGTTTCGTATGGCTTTCTTGAAGTCAAGATTAACGAGCGGGGGTAGGGCAGCCTCCCGACCCACAACACGTACGCGCACGATGTCTCCCAAAGCGATATTACATGAAGTCGGCAGACTCGAAGCATGCCTTGGCAATCAGCCAGTTGTTGCCATCCTCGGGGGTAAAGATCGGGGTCGCCTCTTCTCCCTGGCTCAGCTGCTCCGTAATCACCGAAGACGAAGCAAACACAACAAACATCCATGCACGCCGACGACGGCATAATCAGCGGCGGCAACACGAACAATCATCAGGAAGGTTCAAAATCCACGAGCACAAACACCAGAAACATAGCAATTCGATCTACAGAATAGCAAACGCAGACAGCAACGACAGACACAACGACCACACCACAAGAATGGCAACGCCAAAGACAGCACCAACAGCGACAACAACCAAACACCAACAAAAACGACACAGATTTATGGCGGAAAACGAACATAATTTGATTAGCACCACCAGCAAGAATCAAGAGTTGGGGATCGGGAGGTTTTGTCACCTGGATGCCGATGGGTCTGATGGGAAGGAGATCGTCGTCGATCACCTCAAACAGGGCCACGCTTGGGGTGAGGTACCTCTCGACACCCTCTATGGGGTAGGCTTCCATGTCCTGGTCCCACGGAGACGACCGAAGAGGCAAGAGAACCAAAAAATATACACGCGTATAGAGCAAGGACGGCACGCACTCGTATCCGCCAGCAGAGTTCCGGGACATCTCTCCAGGAGAAAGCTAAGCGTAGTTGGCATCAGTATCGGCAGCATAACCTACCTCTTCGTCGTCTTGTTCGCGCGTGCTTTACAAAAGACGAGGCATGAGATGGTGGCCAAAACACTGATCCCAAACAGCACGGTCTTCCATGAGCAAAGTACGTGCAACAACTAGCGCGATAGATGGTAGTCTGGGGGTTTTGTGTTGTACAGCACCCATCCGCAGCAAGACGAAACGGAAGACAAAACGTGGCCTGCGTGTACCCCTTTTTCGTTTTTTTCACCTTAAGGAGCTCGTGGTCGACGACGAAGAGCTTTCCTTCGTCCATCAAGGAGTCCACCTTGGACTTAAGTTTCTGAACAGGGTGACAAAAAGCACGACGCACGTGGTTAAGAGAACACAGGCCGGGGCGGGAGTGCTGAGAACACGAACATGGCACAGCAGTCTCACCAAGCGAATGCCGTTGCAGAAGATACAAACGCCACAGCCGATAGACTTTTGTCCGCGTCTCTACCAAGCAATTTCACAAAATTGCTTGATGAATACGAATAATTGTTGTAGTATTTGGTGCAAGAGTAGGAATAAAGTACTAACAGGCGCCATTGACCTTCTTACTTTGTAGACGGGGTCCGAATCGAGGACTTTGAGCTTCTCACGAGTGGACTGGGTGCACTTCTCCAGAACGACACAGTTCCCGCCTGAAAACGGCGCAACACCAAGCGATCGATGGAATAGAATTACGATCATACTATCGGCGAGAGCAGGGCGACTGGTCGAGGCTACACGACCAGGAAGAGGAAACAAGTGGTGCGCTAGCTCACGAGATGTAAGACAACCGAAATGAAACGCCAACAAAACGGTAGCCAAAAAAACACATCATCGCACGAGCCTTCCTTTGGACGGTTTAACACCGCATGGTCAGAACTGCTGTCGCCAACGGGAGCGGCAGTCAGTCATTCAAGAGTTGCAACCGACAACAATCGTTCACAGCTGGCCGCAGCAGCTGAAGCGAATCATTGCGAAAGGCACTGCAAAGATTCACCGTACAATGTGTCGTGTACGTGAAACGGCGGCAATCGGAGTTTTGGTACTAGAAGTGGTTGAATTCTCATCGCTTACCCTGTAGGCGGAGGCGGGCGAAAGCCTCGTCGTCTTGCCAGTCGTACATTGACTTAGGGTTCTTGATCGGGAAGGCGTGGAGATCTTGGTAATCCCCGATGTCGGCGGGCTGGAAACGAAACAAGTACCGGTAGAAAAATGTGCAGCACTAGTGTAATATTTAAGCCGTTGGGGGGAGGGATACATGAAAGGCGCGGAGGTTCTAGCAGTGCGTTCTGTTACTCCGTGGGCTGAAATGAATGTTCAAACTTTGTGTCCACAGATCAGGGCGCCATTAGAACCAGTTTTGAAGCGATACCTATGGATTTTCTCGGGGTCTGACTCTAATCGCCCATGTACACTAGATTCAAGACGGTCTTAGATCCAACACGGTGAACCGAGTAACATCGTGTTTGTCCTGACCCAGATCGTTCTGTCTCCCTCGACCATAACAAAAGGGCAAGATTCTGCAAAGCGGAGATAGATCCATGACCGACCGCCAAAACCCTGCCAAAAATTGCAATAACAGAAAACGAAAGGCCTGGCTATGATTGTGGTCCACTCCACCAGCCACACCCACCCTCTCGTCGATGGCGAAGTTTTCCCTGATAAGCTCCCTGACCCTGGTCGCGAACGTCTTCGCCTTCGCGGGGTCCGTGAGGGCCTCCATGATCTCGCCGGCACCCAAACTTCCCCTGTGGAAAACAACGTGTCCCGGGGGGTCGGGGGAGGGTACACGCGGGATCATACACGGTCGCACGATGGCATATCCCTGTCGCATTCCCATCCACCACATACGGAAGCGGGGACCAACGGAGTGTACGAGGGTCCCGTCATTCGACTGGCGGAGGTCGGAAGCCTGGCGTACAGAGGTTTAAAACAAAACGTGCAAGAAATTTGCTTGCTTGTCAGAGAAAACACATGTCCAACGATAGATGGTGGGTATCAGACCACACCTACCTTAGGGTTCCCACCGCGATCTTCAGAACGCTGGCAACGAGGTCCGTTGTCCACGCCACCGAGGGGAGTTCGTCATCGGGAGGAAAACCTTCCAAGTACGGCGTCCCCTCCGGGGGGCCCTTGTAATGGAATTGGTTGTGGTTGATCCCATCCCGGCAAAGCAATCGATCGAAGAAACAAACAAGAGAATACCGGCGACAGGCCAGAAGGACGACAGGAGGAAAAGAGATGGGGGCGAAAGCGATTAAAACTTTGTGCGGGGTGCTGCTACTACTATGCAGATGAGGATAACCACGTGGTGCTGTTACTACGCAGATAAGGATAACCACGTGGACGTCCGTCCACGAATGTATTCCGAGCGTGCGATGTGGGTGTTGTAGAATGGTGTGTACCATTTGAGGACTTGGTCAGTTTTGGGACTCCTGCGTTTGCAGTCGTAGTCCCCCGGCTAGTATTTGTGGGGAGAGAGATGGATTTGTAAGAGTTGACGCCGGCCTTTGCAGCTAACGCGGCCGGAGAGACGATGAGCGTTTCGTGCGTCTCTCTCCCCAACACGTAGCCTAGAAACCGAAGAAATAATGAAGCAATTCGAAAGAAAACAAAATAAAAGGAAGGTTTGTTCGTCGAAGCAGATAGAATAAACTGGTGTTTATTTTGTAACAGTCGAATTAGAATTTGGCTTCATTTTCTACCGGAAACCCAGGGTCACGGTGTTTGGAATTATTAGTCTATAGTTGGGGGTGTCATTCCGTGATCGAGTCCACGCAGGGGCTGTAGCAAAGTCGGGTAACGTGTGACAGCTACAGAGCGCGTGAAGCAACGGAAGGACAGCAGCAGCCGCCTAACGCAGTAGCGGCGGCAGTTTTCAAGACCGCAGCGACAGGCGCAGCAGCCGCAACAACCCCGACAACAACCTTGACGGCACAAAGTCGGTTGACGACCTTGCTTTCAACAATCTTGTCGGGCGGGTCGGGCGGAAACCTCCCTGCCCGCACAATCAATATACGTACCTCGGTGCTCCACCTATACTCTTTCTTCCTCTCCTCCAGCTGCTCCTTGCGATGAGCCTGGTCGGCCTTTGGGTCTTGGGGCAGGCTGGTCACCCCTTCACGGTTACCTGGGAAGAGTTCGCACGAAATGTCGGTATGAGGCGGTGTCATCCCTTGTTCGGTACGAGGCACCTGTACTATTTATAATGGCATTTCGGTGCCTTGGTGCTCATTTCGTTGTTTAATTAATTATCGATGTGCTTCTTGCTTTGAGGGAAGAAACGACACTGCCAGCTGCAGTCGTAGCTGCTGCCAAACCAAAACTCATTCGATTTTGTTCTTATAACTTACTTACATATTCAAGTACAGAAGTTTCTACTTTTGGAGGACGTCTGGCACATCCAGAAGCCACTGACGGCTATGCTGTCATAATACGCACGAGTACTGAATGAAAGTTGGAGTATATTCTGGTGTGATACATACCAGTAGTCAAAGGTAGGTTCACTTACTGGTAAAGAAGTCCGTGATGCTGCTGAACGAGAACCCGGCAATGTTGAGAGGCGCAACGGCAGAAGTCTCCACGCGTCGGTCCGTCCTCGTTGTCGGCCGGTTGTTAGCGCGAGGAGTCGGGGCAACGAAGGCGTCACCCATGGCGACCACGAGGGCCAGCACCGCTACTTTCATAGTTCGAGAGTGCGGCATCTTCAGGAGTGTAGGTGTTCCTGGAGAAATCGGCAGCAACAGTACAAACTCAAAGGTTGCAGCTTCTTTTACATGTAGTCACCCAGCTAATTACAGAAAGTCCCGCCGAAACGTTCTCTTGTTTCCCGCCAAATCAGCTATTAGTAAATACTGCTGTTGTTACGCTATATCTTGCAGAGTACCTTTAAAATCCGTTGGACGGGTTCTAACTGACGTAGGCACAAGCCAACACTCCAAAATATCGCTGTTGTCCATACTTGTTTGGAGGTATTGCCCGTGTAATGTGGTGCAGTACCAGGTTATTTGGCGTTATCAGACGGTGTGTTGTGACCACGTGGCAAGAGTCAGGAGTTGTTGTTTTCGAGTTATGTGCCCTTGGTCAGTGCGCGCTTGGGGTCTGGTTTTGTGTCGGGTGCAGGGGGTACACGCAAGGCGATAGCAAAGCATATCAAGAACAAAGAGTAGCGACAACCTGAATCTCTATCTTATCATCTGCATCACTCATCACCGCATCACCGCATCACCGCATCACCCTCGTCAACGCTCAGATCTTGCGGGCGCGGCGTATCGGAGGCCTGGCACGTTGACGGTTTCAGCTATAAGGTGTCTGTGGAGCTATTTAAAGAGTTTGAGGTGCGTCCTGTATCTCTGTCGGCGGGGACGTGTGTTGGTGTTTGTGGTGCCGGTGACCGTGCCATCCGCCCGGCTTTGTGTTTTTTTCACTGCTGCCGTTTGAAGTCCATTTTGCGAATTGAGCCCTGAAATTTCGCGTGCGTGATGGCTGGAGTCAGAGGATGGTCGTCACAAAATTTGGTGAACAAAATCGCAGTACGTATTGAGGCGGGTCATTGATTGTAAACGTCCCGTGAAGGGGCAACACTGCATGTGCGTGGCAGGACAATCTCCCCCGCTGCTGTTGATACTGCCCATAGGGCGAGTTGAGTGTTGAAAACGGGCATGCATGTTCAACAGCCCCGGGCGATACTCTCCGTGAAATTTGAGTTGATTCGGGCGTCTATTGATGAAGCCTGTAGATGTGTTCATCTCACAATTTCCCGGTCACCCTGCTGTCCACCCCGAAGTGCCAAGTGTATTGTTTAATACAAAGGATTCAGAGTTAGAGGCTCACACTCGGCACGTGTGCTCCCCTCGCCCTGGAACATGCTTAGAAATTTTTTTGATCAAAATCCGCCCCTACGTCGTTGTTCAAGGCCAAAAATGATTTTTCGGCCACATTGCTGTCCACCCCCGCTGCCCCCCGAAGTGCCAAGTGTATTGTTTAATACAAAGAATTCAGAGTTAGAGGCTCAAACTCGGCACGTGTGCTCCCCTCACCCTGGAGCACGCGTAGAAATTTTTCTGATCAAAATCTGCCCATACGTCGTTGTTCAAGGCCAAAATCGCCATTTCGCCGGTCACAGCGCTGCCCCCTCCTGTTCCGCCGCAAAGCACCCCCCCCCCTCCCTTGCCCTTCTCCACGCCCATTTTTTTTCGAGGTAACGTGGTGCAGGTACGCGAAGGAGACGCAAACGAGAGATGCGAGAGCATATTACGTGCAGCTTACAGGGGGGGTGATTCGGACAGTGTGTTGTGTTTTTTGTTATGTTTCATCGCCCAGCTGGCAGGGGGGGCGAACAGAACAGTCGGGTGTTTGATTTGGGTCGCGATTAGGGTCATTTTTTGGCCCGAATCAATATATAGGATTTGCCATGACCTGATTCGGGTCTCATTCGGGTCATACTGTTTTCAAGTAGTCGGTCCGAATAATGACCCAAGTGGGGAAGTCGCGTTTTGGTTTATACGGTAGGTACACACTAGTACACACGCTTTACGCTCTCAAAAAGTGTGCAAGCAACTATTATACCTAAAGGCAGCAATGCACAATGAAAGGCAAAAATGTGTCGGTTAGCACGTGGTAGAGGCTGGTGCGTGTCTAGACGGAGAGAATGGCAGCTAGAGAATGTGAGTAGTGAGCACGACGGTCGAAGTGCGGACGGGTAATCTATTATTTCCCTATTTTTTGCAGTCACCCAAAGTTCAACCGCTGTTTTCTGCTTGCTGTGCATAGTCCATGCATACGGCGCAACAATCAGCAGCCCCCAAAATAATGGCATGGACGACGGAGATCTTCAACAACAAAATATCTAGTTCTCGGAAAGCACATTTATTTGTTCTGGTTGTGTTGTTTTTTTAATGCGAAAGCGCAATAGCCGCGCAGAACAACCAACCCTCTGCTGGTGCCCGTGCAGCACGAAGGGCGCTCACTGCTGCTGTCCAACACAAGGGTCTTCCGGCAATCTCCTTGTATGTGCGTGACCAAGCCTACTGTACGTACATGTACATACATGAGACTGCCGTGGGTCTATGTAGCTGTCATCGAAATACATAGTGGTGGCGGCACCTTACCCGTGAGAAGCGCAGGCCGCTCTTTGGTCTTGAGGTGCAAATGCAGCAGAAAAGGTGTCAGTCTGTCGTGTCTCGCTGGTTGGCACGGTTTTCTCTGCGCACCCCAGCGTCAAATCACTGAATAATGTTCCTTCAAGTTGTCCGATGTGAACCGTCCGACACCGTTCTTTCTGATGCCTATCTGTCTCTGCCGGATGTTCCCGCCGCTGTCCCGCTGCTTTCTTTTCTTGCATCTCGCAACTCTTTTTTCTCGTCGTTTTTCATTCACAGCAACGACCCGTGCACAACCGAGGTCGCTCTCTGAGATCCAGGTTCCGGGTGGTTATCATCATACTGGCCATCCATGCGTGTAGACGAAGTCCGCAGTCAACCCCGCGCGGAATACGCCAATTTGCACGAAAAGACAATATACTAATAGGGTCATACCTACCTTTGCTCTCCATTGCTTTGTGAAAAGCCATCCACATGTATATATGCATTTGCACATGTGCAGCAACGCACCATCGTCACCCGTGAAAGGGCGACCCCATATTGCCATTCACTCTGTTTCCGACTGTCAATCATGTGCGCACATGAAGTTTCCGCAGTTACCATAACTTCCGATGATCACAATGGTTGGCAGAGAAGAAAGCTTATGGCAGCATATGTATTCGGCGGGGTTGAAGGTTGGCTACGGGGAGAGGCGAGATCTTGCTTCCGCGCGAGTTGTAAGACGGCTCGCGTCGTGTGAGTGAGTGCGAAATGCAATGAATGCTGTTTAGGTTTCAGGGATAAGATGTTGATGGGTGACAAATAACCGTCGTCGTGTGCACACTATTATTGTAGACAGACAATTGGTACGTGGATTTCGGTCACGTATTATACCGGTGTGGGATTTTGCCCATCCAGGGCTTCTCCATGCGGGTAAACACTCATCATCTATCTCGCGGCTAAGTGAGTAGCCAAGGGTGGACTACATAGAACGATGATTTCTTTTCGTTTTCTGGTGGGGCGTTTGTTTGGGTTGTGCGTAATTTTCGTTTTTTTCCGGTATTGGTTCATTGTGTATAGGCAACTCGACGAGTATCGTCGCGTTGCCTGTCTGAAGCTTTCGATTTTTTCAGCGGGACGCCCGATGAGCACACGCAAAAAACAGGAGCCGGGGGACCCCAAAAAACAAAGCATGAAAAATACAAAAAGAAGCGAGAACCACCACAAGAGCCAGTAGACGCGACAGGCTTCGGGGAGGAGGCAAGAGAGAGCACAGAAAACCACCGTCGTCGCTGCTCGCTCTGGACCGCTGGAAGCTCTCACATAGCACTGCATATGCAGCAAACATTAGATAGGGCCCAAGTTCATTGCTTGACATAAAGAGGCAGCGCCCATCGCTCACATGCAGTAGCCGGATGCACGGGTATAGCCTCTTAGTCAGCAAGAAGCAAAACGACTGCGGTTGGCGTTCGATGTTGTTGGGACCCCACCGGCGAAAGGCGAGAGAGAGAGAGAGAGAGAGAGAGAGAGAGAGAGAGAGAGAGAGAGAGAGAGAGAGAGGTTGACTAAAAAAACAACAGAGCGGAGAGAAGACAAAGCATTAACTCTCGAGAAGACACTCACTCTCGTCTCTCTGGCCCACCGCGGCTGTCAGGCATGATGCGTGTGTATCGAACGGCGATATTCAATGTGGGCTCAGCAACAACAAACAACACAAGAAACAAAACATATAGTCGCCGTTTGCGAAGTGTGGACTATCTTTTGTGGTAGGAAGTGAGAACTAAAAAGAACATGACTACATCTAGCACGACGGACGAACTATTATTATCTCAATACGCTTGACGTCCGCGATAGATGCGCACCGCTGCACGAACGAGCAGATTGATTGTTGGTTTCTCTCTCGTTTTTCCCAACAACAAACGCCACATGGCGACGACAACGACAGCGGCCGTTGGTAGACATGGAGCTGCGGTACGAGATCATCAAGGGCAACCACATCACCCCGCTGACGCAGAACGTCTTCCTCAAGGCCGTTTCCATGGCGAAACAGACAAGGTTTAAGTGAAGGCCGTCTCTTGCCGGCCACAGGACGCGGAAGCTGCTCAAAAACTCGGGGACAGGTCATGATTTGCGATTCCCGACCGAACGGATATCGAACGATGCATGAGAAAAGCTTCAGAATTGCGAAACTTGCCGGGCCCAGTCATAGACATGGCAAGTAAACACCCCCTCACAACAAAAATAATAACTGAAATAATGCGTGGGTCAGTGGGTAGGTGACCGGCGGACCCCAAAAAGCAAAGAATGAAAAATCAAAATAGCAAGGAGGGAGAACGAAGACAAGTGAGCCAGACGCGACAGGCTTCTCAGGGAGGTGACCAAAGAGAGCATAGAAAAGCCACCGTCGCCGCTCTGAACCGCTGGAAGCTTTCACATAGCATTGCATGCATCAGCAAAGAGTAGGGGCCATGCCCATTGCTTCACGTACAGAGGCAGCGCCCGTCGCCTCACATGCGGCAGCCGGGTACACGGGTAGCCTCTTGCTCAGCAAGAAGCAAATGATTGCGGTTGACGTTCAATGTTGTTAGGACCCCAACGGCGAAAAAGCGAGAGAGATGCAGGTA